GGAGCATGGGGGAGCCCTCCCCCGCGCTCCTTTCCAAGCGCCCGCCGGTCAGCGCCCCCCCGGTCAGCTGGGCGAAAATGCCAGCGGGGGCTTTGGGAGGACCGTGGGGGAGCCCTCCCCCGTGGTCCTCCCAAAAGCCCCATTTTTGCACAGCTGATCGGCGGTTCCAAAATGGCTGCCGTGTCAAGAAAATGGACGCCCGCAGCGTTTTCGCACTGATTCCTCGCTTACCGAGGTGGCGAAAATGGCGGCCCTATGGAGGATTCCCGCTTAGCGGTGAGTTTACCCCCCCATGGGGTTTTTCTTTCCATATAGCAATGTTTCCGGATAGCGACGTTTTTCCTGGAACGGATTAACGTCGCTATGCGGGGCACCACTGTACATTTTTAAAATTTCCATTCACTATAGCATTATTAAAAATTCCTAAATGGAAAACTTGCATCTCATTATTATAAACCACTGCATAATGGTGTATAATAATATAATTATTATATATATCAGAACAATACTACATCAACTTGTCACCCCCATCCCACAACAATTAGAAGTTTGCTTTTTACCGGGTTTCTGAAGAGTGATATAAAGTCAGGTTTATGCTTCTTTAAAATCTGGTCAAGAAGATGTACTGCTTCTGGCTGTCTTTTCCAAATAGCATTAACTACTGCCTGCCAAATGTCTTTGTAAGGCCCCCACAAACTGGCACCTAAAAGTAAGACAACATATTCACAACTGGGCAACAGTGTTAATGACTACATAACCACACAACACTTCACAGGGACAAAATTAATTTTAAAAAATCTTTTGTAAAAGCAGTAAAACCCATGCTCTGGATAGTATTCTGCAATTGTATTATCAACATATTCTTATTCCCAAAGAAATGGGAGGTGTGAAACAATGATATGTTTCACATCTAAAGAAAAAAGATGTTGAACTGAAAATCCACATAATTCTACTTCAGTACTGTATTATTTTAATGAGAAATAAAATAGTCCAATTCCCCCCCCAAAAAAAACAGACAAAGTGGAGCAATGGGGGGGAGAGGGCACTTGCATAAGAATTCACTCTCCATTGTGCCATTTGTACTGATGAAGATGTCACCTCATTCACTGCTACTACAGTATATTCTTCATCAGAACAAGAGTACATCAGAACAAGGGCCTTCAAAGCAAAGAAAGAAAAACACTTATGCAACAGTCCATGGAGATTCAAAAAGGCACAAATCCCATAAGTGACTGGAACATGAGATGATCCCAGAAATTTGTATTTCGCTAAGATCCACACTGGCTTTTATTCAAAAGTGTTGTCCACACAGAAAATAAACAACAGCTCTATAACTAAAAGAGATGGGAACTTGGAACCAGAAACGGAAAAGAATGCATAACAAAGGAAAGCCACAACTTCCCAGTGCAATTACAGTTAGTATTCTGACTTCCACACAAGAGTGAGTATCTAACTGATGCTAATATAATATCTGTAAAATATACCCTGGCTAATGGTGGCTAACTGCCTAAGTGCCAGGATATATATCAGTCGCATGAGTAGCCATGTGCCCCTACACTTCATCAATTAAATATAACTAGCCATCTTAAATCACATAAACCTCAGCGCACACCATCAGGATGCTAGCGAAGGTCCATAATGTCCATTGAGCTCTCTTCCAGAGAACTTAATAAAAACCACAAAGTAATCAGTCACTTAAAGGAAATTTAAAGATATTTAAAAGGTAGTAGATATCCTAAGCCCCCTGCCCATGATGCTTAGATGATAATTTAAATCCATGGAAGACACGATCCAGGGAAAACTTCTGTATTACTCAAATATTCCATCATTAATTTATAGCAGGTCAAGTGCATATTCATGAGATTTTCTTGGCAAAGATGCTGGAGTGGCTTGCCAATTCCTGCTCCAGGCAGATCGTGTTTAGTCAGAACTCTCCACTGTCTGTCTTGGGTATTCCTGCACGGCATAGCCCATTGCTTCTCTGAATTACTCAAGCCCCTTTGCCAAGACAAGGCAGCAATCTATCAAGGGGAATATCATTGGTTTATAATCTAAAACAAATCCCTTATGAATATACAGTGGAAGTGAAAAACAGATTTAAGGAACTAGATTTGGTGGACAGAGTGCCTGAAGAATTTGGATAGAGGCTCATAACATTGTATAGAGGCTCATAGCCCCTTTGCCAAGACAAGGCAGCAATCTATCAAGGGGAATATCATTGGTTTATAATCTAAAACAAATCCCTTATGAATATACAGTGGAAGTGAAAAACAGATTTAAGGAACTAGATTTGGTGGACAGAGTGCCTGAAGAATTTGGATAGAGGCTCATAACATTGTATAGAGGCTCATAACAGGAGGCGGCAGCAAAAACCATCCCAAAGAAAAGGAAATACAAGAACAAAGTGGCTGTCCAACCAGGCCTTACAAATAGCAGAGAAGAGAAGGGAAACAAAATGCAAGGGAGATAGGGAAAGTTAAAGAAAATTGAATGCTGACTTCCAAAGAATAGCAAGGAGAAACAAGAGGGCCTTCGTAAATGAACAGTGCAAAGAAATAGAGGAAAATAATAGAAAGGGGAAAACCAGAAATCTGTTCAAGAAAATTGGAGATATTAAAGGAACATTTGTGCAAA